CTATTTACTCCATTTGTACAATTCATACTCATGACCCCGCACTTTATACTCTTTGTTGTACTTACATTACTCCTGACCCTGCAATGTATTCTCTATGTTGTACATTCCACACTCCTGAACCCTGCCACTATATATACTCCATTTGTGTAACACTACATACCCTGACCAGCGCGATCACTATATACTCTTATGTTGTACATTACATACTCCTGACCCCTGCACTATATACTCCATGTTGTACATTCCATACTCACTGACCCCTGCACTATATACTCCATGTTGTACATTACATACTCCCTGACCCCCCTGCACTATATAACTCACTTCATCCATGGTCTTTGGGGGCCTCTGATCTCCTTATGAACTGTTTCTTCCATGATGAAGATCAGCCATGGAGTATATCTGAGGTGTATATCAGGGTGTGCTTCTTCCCCACATGAGAGCTGGGATGTCCAGCAACATTCATCTAGAAGACATTTCCCGCACTCAAGGCACTAATACACCTCCAGGGTTGTGTGGGATCCCTGATGTACAGGAAGACAGGACTTCAGTGAGGATTATTTCCCTCACTCAGGACAGGAAAGTGGCTTCTCCACTGTGTGAGATCTCTGTTGTATGTAAAGACCGACCTTCACTGAAAAACATTTCCCGCACTCAAGACAGAAATACGGCTTCTCCCCTGTGTGAGATCTCTGATGTGTGTGAAGACTGGACTTCACTGTAAAACATTCCCGCACTCAGGAGAGGAATATGGCTTTTCCCCTGTGTGAGATCTCTGATGTTTGTAAAGACTGTACTTCACTGAAAAGCATTTCCCGCACTCAGAACATACTGTAAATATGGCTTCTCCCCTGTGTGAGATCTCTGATGCCTGTAAAGACTGGATTTCTCTGAAAAAACATTTCCCTTCACTCAGGACAGGAATATGGCTTCTCTCCCACATGAGTTCTCTGATGTGTGTAAAGATTGGACTTGTCTGAAAAACATTTCCTGCACTCAGGACAGGAATACGGCTTCTCCCCTGTGTGAGATCTCCGATGTCTGGAAAGATCGGACTTATAACGGAAACATTTCCCGCACTCAGTACAGGAGAAGCTCTTCCCTGTTGGAAGGCCGGCCCGGTCCCGCACTGTCTGAGGTTCCTCAGGATACGAGGAATCTGATGGTCCATCTACACTGGGTGGTGCCGGATGGACATTGGAGGGAGCCGGGTTTTCTCCTGGACTATACTGTGTGATGTCCTCATCTTCTACTTTCCAGTCTGGAGACAAAGTGAGACAATCCTCGGAGGTTTTCCTCATCTCCCGGCCATGGACTAAAATACAAAGAGGATTACTAGACAGGAGCTGATTGGTTCCCCCAAACCAAGACTCCGCCCACATCGGGCAGCTTGGTCTCTGAGGAGCTTACAATTCCACCCTCAAGGGAACTAGGAAATGGCTCCTCTGATCTCCTACCAGGTCATTTCTTTATTCATGGACCTTAGTCAGAGAGTGAGGAAACAACCAGAACTGTCTTTTATAGGAGGGACAGTGATGAGGGGATTATAGGACGGGGGTCCCCAACCCCTCTATCACTCATCGCCATCTTCCCAACACAAGAAGTACTGCACTTCCTTATTTAGTCCATGATTTAGTCATGAAGAACAGCGGGGCTGAGCCCCACCAGAGGTCAGAGAGTGAGGATGGGGGGGGAGAACAACCAAGATGAAGACTGGACTGATCCTGAAGACCACCATCATTGGGGTATTGACTCCCTCCCTCACAGAGGGGGTGAGGTGAGGGGTAGAGAGATAGATTTGTGTGTCATCGGCATAGAGGTGATAGTTGAGCCGTGTGAGAGTGTATGAGTTGGCCAAGTGAGGAGGTGTAGATGGAGAAGAGAAGGGGCCCAAGGACAGAGCCTTGAGGGACCCCAACAGAGAGGGGGAGTGAGGGGGAGGTGGTAGCATTATAGGTAACGCTGAAAGAGCATTGTGATAGATAGGATGAGAGCCAGGAGAGAGCAGAATCTCTGAGGCCGAGGGAGTGTAGTTTTTTTTTGAGGAGGGGGTGGTTGACTGTGTCGAAGGCCGCAGAGAGGTCAAGGAGTAGGAGCACTGAATAGTGGCCATTAGCTTTTGCGGTTAGCAGGTCGTTGGAGAGTTTTAGTAAGGCAGTTTCGGTGGAGTGTAGGGGATGGAAGCCGGACTGTAGGGGATCGAGGAGGTTGTTGTCGTCGTGAGGTGAGAGCTTAGGCGGGTGTAGACTAGGCGCTCGAGGAGTTTAGATGTAAATGGGAGCAGGGAGATGGGTCTGAGGTTGTTTGGGTCATTGGGATCCAGGGAGATATAGTTTAATTCCGTGTTATTAGAGATACAGTATTCAGTAATCACTCAGAGACATATGTTCTTCAATTAGCATCTGAAAGGACAGAGCAGCATTTAGGAGGTGACACCTAGATGCCAAAACAACTTTCCAATCTATGTAGCCAGAATTTGCCACCTTCCTGAACCTGAAACTAAAGCTCTAGCTATTTCGGCTACATGAATCAGCAGGAGACTGAGAAAAGCCTCAGAAATGTCTGCCAGCTTTGATTTATATCCACAGATCAGAAGAATCTATTTCATCTCTCATAAAAGTTAAATATTAGTTGCAGAAAGATGAAAATAATTCCTTCTGATTGCACACATTTTAGGTTCCATCTACATGTAAAAGTATATTTGTAGCCTCTGTAGAATCCCGGAGAAATGCACAAAACAGTATATGGCGCCCGATTGCAACAATGATTAGTACTGACGCCATCGGATTTACGCTCTAGTGTCGGAAATTCTATCCCTGACAGAAGTGAACAGAACCGTTCCTGGCCCATTCAGCTCTGGGCACTTTAGAACACAAAACGTCCTGTGGGCTCGTACAGGAACACCCCCCCCAGGGTTGATTGGCCAAGGGCTAAAGTCCCACCCACATCCATATTTCAATAAACTGAGGACCCTGAGATATGGACGGGGTGATTCGTACGGAGCCGGTTCCATATGACTGGCGAATCATGGACTTTCTTTGACTTGCTCCAGTCACAGGATAAATCTTGGTAAAAGTTGTATTTCTGTTTTTATTCCCTTTTTGTTTTACAGTGAATAGCCAATTGTGTGTCTTTTTGTCTTTCTTGGTTTTTTTAAATTCCTTTTTTCTTTGTACATATTTTATGCACTGCCCACTTTTGGGATATTAAATTCTAAAATGAATAAAGAGTCTTCTTTGTACTAAGTTCGGGTTCCTATCTCTGGAGACATTGTTGTATTGTAGCATTTACTGTATGTGCTCGGTCTTATTGCCAACTTGTATGCAATTGTACTGTGTGTTGGCAGATTACATTCAGATTGTAAACTAGCTTTGTGGGGGGGGGGGGGGTGGGGGGGGGAAGAGGGAGGGGGGGGGGGGGGGGGGTAGGGGGACCTCTCCTTGACATAACAGGTGTTCTGGGAAGGGGGGCCAACCTACAATGTATGGACTTTTGTAAGCCTATAAACAACTGCTATCTAGATTTAACACCTTAACCTCTTGCCAACCATGCTATAGCCGAATGACAGCTACAGAGCGGTTGTCCAGTTTTGGGAGGGTGTCATATGATGTCCTCCCAGAAATCATCCTCCCGTGCACCCCCAGCAGTGTGCACCCAGTGATCTCCATGACTGCTGTGTCCTACAGACACAGCTGATCACGTGATGAGGTAAAAGGCCAATCACAGCAGCCTTTTACCACGTGATCAGCCGTGTCAAAATGACACAGCAGATCAATGAGTAAATACAGTTGCCGATTATTGACAGCACTTTCCTCATGCTGTCACAACATGACAAAAAGTACTGCCGATAACTGGCAATTGTCATAGAACAGATTGACACTGATCATCAGGGCACTGATGATCAATGCCCAGCAGTGCCTCCCACCAGTGCCCAGCAGTGCCACTCATCAGCCAACCATCAGTGCTGCCCATCAGTGATGGACAGCAGTTGCGCTCATCAGTGCCCAGCAGTGCCCCCAGTCAGTGCTGTCAATCAGTGTTGCCCATCAGTTCCACCTATCAATGCCCATCATTGCTGCATATCAGTGTAGCCCATCAGTGCTGCCTATCCATGCGACCTCATCAGTACCTATCAATGCTTCCTATCCATGCCAATCAGTGCTGCCTATCAGTGCATTAATGCACATCAGTGAAGGAAAAAAATTTTAAATAAAAACAAAGAAAAACGTTTTTTTTCACATTTTTTGCAAAAAATAAAACACTTAATGGTGATTAAATTCCACTAAAAGAAAGCTCTATTTGTGTGAAGAAAATGATAAAAATCCACAATGTTTCATGACCGCACAATTGTCATTCAAAGTGCTACAGTGCTGAAAGCTGAAAATTGGCCTGGGCACGAAGGGGGGATAAAAGTGCCCGGTAGGCGAGGGGTTAAATAAGGTCATGGTATTTTTATCAATGCTACCCTTCTCAAAAGCTTCCTCAATCACACCAAAGAGGATCTTCTGACCATTCTCCATGTTGATGGATGTTATCTTAGTGTACCTTTCCTTATATCTAAAGATCTTTTGACACCTCAATACATATTTTCCTCGCTCCATGATGACATGGTTCGCCCTTGTCGGCAGGCTTGATCACAATGTCACGGCAGTTCTTAAGCTTTTCCAAAGCAACGCGTTCTTCTCCCATAAGATTATCATATGCCATCTTTCCAAAATTCACCATTTTTAATTCTCTGGTAACTACAACCACAGAACACTGAACTCCAGCTACTGCCAACAAGGGGGAAAAGAAGACATGATAACTCACATCATCTACTCTGGACAGGACCATGTGTTTCTCACCATACTCACATCTCTGAATTTCCTCCTCCAGTTCTAAAACCATGTCAGCTTAAACATCTTCAATATCCTCTATATTAGTAATCTCCAAATTGCGACCCGGGGGCCAGATGTGTCCCTTTACTTATTTTTATCCGGCCCTTGGGGCACTATTTCATCCACTAATACCAATCAACAATGGGGCATAATTACCCCACTGAAACCAATGATAGGACACAATTCCTCCCAATGACACCAACAATGGGGCAAATGACACAACACCAAAGATGGGGTATTGTTTTTTCCAAGTGACGTTGGGATCTTTTCTACTCTCAATGACTGCAGTCTGACCCCCCTTAAAGTCTGAAGGACAGTAAACTGGCCCTTTGTTTAGAACGTTTGGACACCCCTGCTCTACATGACCTTCCTCCCATAGGGCATCCACATCTATAAAAGCTCTGTACTCCTTTCTGGAGAGCTGGGGCCAATATTTTATCAGTCCATTAAAGGATCATCTTGTCTATTGTTTCTAGAATGTAATGCTTTCAAGATCAACTTACTGGTAAATAAATATAAACCTTTAACTGCTTCAAAGCTCAACCTTTCATAACAGAGCAAACCCTCAAACCCTTAGAAAGTAAAAAAAATCACTTTGGAAAGATTAACAATTTTAAAGTCACTTTCATCTATTGTTCATCCAACCTGTTCTTGTTCTAGTATATTGTTTTCTACCCCATTTGTGGAGAACCTCCCTCCCCAACCCGTTCCCTTCCTATACCCCCTCCTTGACTAAGATCCCTTTGTTTTCCTGCTTCTGTTCCCCCCCTCCCCTCCCCTTCCCCATGCTTCTATTTTTTGATAGTGATCCACCAACACCAACTTGGTCCTTACGTGTAAAAAATGAATGGTGTGACTGGAACGAAGTTCCTTTAATCTGAAGTTCTATGACAGTGATTGGCCTTTTATATCTTTATATGGTCATCTGCTTTATGGGCTCCTAGTAATATTGGTGACATCCAAGCTATGCAGAATGGTCTTGGTGGTCCCTGTAGAAATCCATATATATGGGCATTTGTGCATTATTAATTACAGACTAAACCCACCTGGAGACCTGAGGACACTGTACAGGTTCTATATGTAGTCTCGGGGGTCCCTGTGGAAGTCCATGTGTGGACATTTCTACCTATGATAAATGACAGACTAAACCCACCTGGAGACCTGGGGACACTGTACAGGTTCTATATGTAGTCTCAGGGGTCCCTGTGGAAGTCCATGTGTGGACATTTCTACCTATAATAAATGACAGGCTAAACCCACTTGGAGTGTGCTAAGTTCTTGGAGAACGTCTACACAGTGTTTCCAGATTGGCTTTATCACCCCAACGAGCTCGCTCCAGTTCATGGATGTCATCATTATGTTTGGAGGATCTCACCAGTCAGGAGCCTTTCCTGTCATCCTACATGTTCCCTTCTGAGGATTGT